CTCATCAACAACCTGTGTTACAGATGACGCAACCTTGCTTGCTTAAACTGAGGAGGACCTTAAGCTTGCTGAAGAATGTCAAGGACTGTAGTTTTCAGTGTGGATTGAAACTCAACATCAAGAAGACAAAGATTCTCTCCACTGGGCCAATTGGTAGCACCCTGATAGATGGAGAAGAGGTTGAGGTTGTTAACAATTACAGCTTGCTTGGCTCCACAAGCAACACTCTTAGCACCAGCAGTCAAGAATTCAAAAGATGTGTTTCATTGGGAAAATCTGTCCAGGACCTCTCCAGAATATCATGTGAGGGACTTCTCTAAAATTTATAGAATACTCCAATACCTTAACAAGAAAAAAATAGACAATCCAATCACAAAATGGGCAAAGGATATGAATAGACACTTCACAAAAGAAGACATTCAGATGACAAAAACACACATGAAGAAATGATAAAAATCTATAGCTGTCAGAGAGATGCAAATCAAAACAACTGAGATACCATCTCAGTCCTGTAACAATAGCAAAGTTCAACAGAGCAGCAAACAACAAATACTGGTAAGGGTGTGTCCCTTATTCACTACTAATGGGAGTGTAAAATGGTGCAACTACTATGGCAAGCAGTATGGCGCTATCTCAAAAAGCTGGAAATAGAAATACCATTGGACCCAGCAGTTCTACTACTGGGAATATACCCTCAAGAAGAAACCAGAGCTGCCACCCAAGCAGATATATACATACTCATATTTCATATTTATTGCTGCATTATTCCTAATAGTAAAGAGATGGAAGCAACCCAAGCACCCATCAACAGATGAATGGATAGGAAAAACTATGGTATATTCACACAATGGAATACTACACAGCACTGAAAAACAAGGAACTCATAAAACAATACACAACATGAGTGATCCTGGAGGACATTATGCTGAGTGAACTATCTCAGTCACCAAAGGACAGATACTGCATAACATCACTGTCAATAAATAGGAATGACTTGAGGGAAACTATGGAAAGGAGGATAAATTATGAATACTCTGTTGGAACAGAGGAAGGAAAGAACCGTTTAAGAGGATTAGGAATTATTTTTATGACAACAGTCCAGAATAAGAAGTGCATTGAAGTGCATTGGAAAGTGGACTGGGGACAGAAAGTGTGCAACAATGAATGAATGAAAGTCCAACTTTTCTGTAAACTTTCATTAAACTCACAATAAAGAAAGGAGGAAGGAGAACTGTTAAATGTGGTTAATTTTAGTTTAAATACCTAGTAAGCCCAGGACTGACTACTGTACTTAAGGAGCTCTGGTACTAGCCTGGTGTTATGAAGTTGCACCGCAATCCCAAAGGAACAATGTTCACATCCAGCAGCTACTATGTGGAACAAGGATGAGTAATCTCTTTGTGATTACTCTTATCTATAACCCACTGGAGGGTCCGCTATTGGTTGGTTTCTACTCTACAGGCACACAACAACCTATACTTTAGTTCCCAGGGAACTACGTCTATTTTGATTGTCACTGTATAGTTCATTTTAAAATATCATATAATGCTATGTAGGCTTTTTTTGGTGTTATGTAACAAAATGGGGAGCTCTGGTGGTTGAATTTGTAGGGAGCTTTGCTGCTCATCCAAAGGTGGAGTTTCTGGTGATTCAAATTCCCTAGCTGCTCCCATGGAGAAAGAGAAGTGCTCTTAATGCTATTTACAGTATCCAACAACCCACTGGGACGTCAGCTATGAGTTGACTGTGTGGCAGTCAATTTTTTGAGTGTGTAGCAAAAGGGAATAAGAATTTTAAGCAAAACACTAAAAGATCAAGATTGAAACTTTACAAGTATACCAGGAATGGTTTGGCTATTTACATTTTCATAATTTATAAGTAGCCTAGATTAAACAGCTATTAAAAGGCCTCAGGAGTCAATTAAAGGACAGGTGACAGCAGATGAGGACCAGAGCAAGGGGAAGTCCATCAAAAGAATGCAATAGTAGCATGGTAGACTGTCATATATAACTGGGGTATCACTTTTCAGATGGAGCATCTTGTGTTCCAAGGATCAAGTCGACCTGGATGAATTACTAGCTAGCTGCTAGGTTGGTGACATTTCTGATGGACCAGGAGATTCTCAAAGTTCCTGTGGCCTTGCAGCCTCTATAGAGGTGCCTGTGGCTCACCTTCAAAGAGTTAAACTAAAATACTTAGGACTGATATGGATATCACGTTATCAAATGGGGATTGATAACTTTAAAAAACTATTTAATGAGCTGCAATTAGTAGCACTTATAAGATTTTTTTTTTCTTTTTGGACACTTTTTATTAACCCATGGGAATGTACTTTATAGTTCCAAGTTCTCCTGAGATAGTAGCTTCAAAGAGGAAGTAGAACGTTTGATGTAAAAGAATCTGTGATGTAATAGAAATAGCTTTGAATTCCTTTACATTCAAAAAGTGAAATCACTCCAAGGAGATAAAATAATTACTTGACTCTAAGTAGACATTTATAGGTCACAGGAGGGGGCCTTTTGCCCAACTAAGGGCATAGATTAGCTGATCAGTGGGAGGAAAATCAAAAGATTACATATGAAAAGCCATTTATGTAATTTAAAACTGTACTTTGGGTAGTTTACCATGTTTAATGACCTTTTTTGTTGTTAATGAATTTCAACTTGGATGTGTTAGTCTACTATATGTCCTTAAAAGGATGGGGAATATTAGGCTTAAGCAAAGTGGCCGAAGGGAAAAAGAAAGAAAGCAGCCAAGTTCTCAGTGGAGTATTAGTGAAAGGAAACTATGTTTGTCAGTAGTACTGTGCACTTCATGTTTAATCTCATTATTTCTTGAAACTCTGACCCTGTCTTAAAGCCTTTTCAGTTTCTCATTTGTATGTAAGAAAGTCTGTGCAGACTATATACACTCAATGTGTCACCTGGGACATTTTAAAGTGAGTGTGCATATCACAAGAGGGAAACAATCTTTTTTTTCTCCCAAGAAAATGATTTATGTGCTTTTAGAGTCTGACATATCTTAGGTCAGTAGGTCAGACCTCAAGAAAGTGGTCTCTGGGAAGGCTGGTAGGGCAAGTCATGAGCACTGTCTTTGAATGTTAGAGTTAGGCTGCTAGCTCAGAGGCTGATGATTGTTGGGGAGCAGGGTTGCAGACAGGTGGCTTTGGAGGCTAACAAATCTAGAGGTCATCTAAGGGAAAGCAGGGCCACAGAGAGCTGGTTTGACAACCCAAAGTTGGCAAGTCTCCAGTTCAGGTCTGAAGGCCATTGAACAAAAAGCTCTTTCAGCCAGAGTCCAAGCATACCTTCAATGTAGGACACACGCTTGAGATGTCTCTCTACTCAGACAAGGCTGATCACATCTAACAGAACCACTTGCAATCCTGTCTTCTTAACATAGAATATATAGTACATATTGTTGTTATTGTGTACCATGAGTAAGAACCCATTCATAGCTGACCCTCCAGTGGGTTTTCAGAGGCATTTAATCACAGTGGGAAAGATTGCTCATTTTCCCCAGCAATGCAGCTGGTAGATTTGAAAGATATGTCTTTAGGTTTATAGTGCATCTCCTTAATACTAGGCCACCAGAGCTCCCTAATATAATTATTTATATTCTGTTACTATTCAATAATAGTAATATAATGCTCCTAATAGATCATTACACTGAGAATCATGGCCATGGAAGGCACACAGTAGTACAGTGACAGAAGAATTATTGATGACCTTGAACTGTGGTGTTGGAAAAGAGTACTGAATATCCCATGGACTGCTGAAAGAACAAACATGTCTTGGAGAAAGTGCAGCTACAGAACTCTTTGGCGGCAAAGCTTGTCTCACATACTTTGGGAATGATACCAGGAAAAGCTATTGCTTGAGAATGTGGAGGGACTGTGAAAGAGAGGAAGCCTCTCCATCAGGGTGTTGACACACTCACTGCAGCAAAGGGCTTGATTGTGCCAGAGCTTGTGAGGATGGCACTGGATAGGAAAGGGGTTCAGATCTGTTGTTCATGGGGTCGCTGAGTCATATTTAACTCCTAGCACCAGTCAACATCTCCATTTGAAAGACTTCCTACTTCTGAATATTTTTCTTACTGCCATTGCCAGAAATTTAATCATGCTAATCCACATAGACCTTGGTGTCTTGGTTAAATCAAACCAAGATTATAAAGTGTATTGATTACACTGAGGAGTTTCTAGTCTAGTAGAGTTGACTTAAGTTGCCACTGGGCATCATTCCTACTTTTGTGACTTGGGTGAGTTACTTAATCTTTTTGTAGCTCAGCTTTTCAAACTATACAGTGGCCATAAAAGAAAGCTCTTAATAAGTTGCTATTATTAACATCCTGTGTAAAATCTTTATTCATGTATTACTACTTTCCAGTTCAAGGATATATTTCAAAGATGCAGATTTTTACCTGGAATTTTTCTTTAATAAAAATTTATAGAATGACAACTTTGAAACATGGAACCAGAAAGGGGTATTTTGGGGCTAACTGCTGAAAACAAGAGTCTAGCATGTTAGGAGATCACCTATCAAAAGTGCTCATTGTTAAACATACTTGTGTTTACACAGTAGACAAAAATATTTGTATTGTCACTGTGTATACTTTTTACTATACCTAGCCCTTCACTCTTTCATGTCAGAAAGCAACTTTTGTTGGTAGTTTTGTTCAAACAACTGAAAGGAAATAGCTGAGAAGCGACATCGATGGATTTGATATTGACTACATGGATTCTTTAAAGGAGATTACTCTATCTGAATATGACAAAAAATTTGATATTGACAAGTTCTCTGACTTCTTATTTTATTACCTGTTGAGTAATTAGAGTGCGGGAAGAATGAGTGTGGTTGTTTCCCATAAAAATTCTTTTCCCCCTACTGAAGCATGTATAAGACATAAATATATTTTTTTAATTTTGCATTGCTAACATTTATAAAAATTGTAAAGGAACTAAATTTGAGTACCAAGATGAAGATCTTCTTTCTTTCCAGATTTCTACCATTGCAGAAAGTGAAGATTCACAGGAGTCTGTGGATAGTGTAACTGATTCTCAAAAACGAAGAGAAATTCTTTCAAGGAGGCCGTCTTACAGGTATGGAAGTTAGTGGTTCAAAGAATTTAGAATTGCAGATGGTGCAGGAAACCCTAAATAGTTGCAGATAAAAGAAAGGAAATGTTAAAAGCCAATTAGCTCAAAGGTGAAGAAAAGAAACCCATTACTGACAAATCAGTCAGTTCTAAGTCCTCATGGATCATCCTTGGGTTTCCGAGGTTGTAAATCATTAGGAAAGGCTTCCTGTCTTTCTCTGGTGGAAGAGCTAGTAGATCTGCACCATTGACCTTTAAGCACCCAGCACATAACATCTTTCATCTTGACCGACTTTTTTCAAGTTGAAGCTTATTATATGCATATTCCTTTGAACAGTCCTAGGTAGACAGTTTTTCTTCTGCTAATTCTCTTTATGTCCGTTTTCTCGTTAGATGTATATCATTTCTTACACTATGCTATTTATTAATTCATTGTCATCAAAACTGAACTGACTCATAGCTGACCCTCCAGCAGGTTTTTAGAGGCTGTAAATTGAATGAGAAGAGAATTGTCCATCTTTCTCCTATGGAGCAACTGGTGGATTCAAACCCCCTGCTTTTGAATTGTCAGCACAACTTCTTACCCACTAGGCTACATAGCAGCAATAGGTTTGTAAATCATATGCCAGTTTGAACTCAGCTCACCACTGTTGAGTCCGAACCAACTCCCAGCTGACCCTACAGTAGATTTTTGGAGGCTGTAAATCACACAGGAGAAGATGGCCCATCTTTCTCCTGCAGAGCAGCTGGTAGGTTTGAAACATCAGAGAGGCTCCAAATTTGGGTTAGCAGTGAAACTCCCAAAGGACTGTGTCACCAGAATTCCTTATGCCAGGGTGGATATTTAATACTTCTCTCAGAGTGATACTTTTTTAACATCCCCAGATTATAGGAGCACCTTACTGTAGATAATATGTTTACTGTAGAAATTACCTAGCCTATGTCTTGCCACTAAGCTCTACCAAAATATTTTTTTTATACATATAAATCAGTTTATATTCAGTATACCCAGGAAGGGAAATTCCATAAATTTCTCTGATAAGCTTACTTCAGAGTTTAATAAGCTTAATACTCTTACTTATTAATAATACAAATTATTTCTGCATTCCAAGGGATAAGTAGCACAGGGTTCCCCTTATTTACTTGGATACTCTTTTCCTAATTTGTCCTGCAAAGATAAATTGCAGACTATTTAAGAAAAGCCTCAGGTCAGCGTAGTCCCAAATGCTTAATCAGTTGTGTGTGTCCATAATTCTAACATGAAAAGTTCTATCCATGTCTCAGTTCCCTTGGGTTCAGATAAACAAGGTCTCCCAGTGACTTATACCTGTCAGAGGAATGACTCATGTGACTGTAGGATAGCAGGCTGGCTTTGAAGCAACTGGTGAACAGTGGGCCAGGATCCTGTAGACTATGACTTGTGACACAGCTAGATAGTGACTGTGGATAATGTAGGCTAGTGGTGTAGAGACAGTGAGCAGGTGGAAGCTATGTCCCAGGCAAAGGAGCTTTTCCAGAAGAAAAAAAGCACATGGTACTGAGGTCCCATGAGATAATATAAGCCTCTAGTAGGGTGGGGCTTTTGTCCCATCCTAATGCTCTCTCCTTAATACAATAATTACTTTAGCACAAAATAGACAGTTAATCATTATCTAGAGAGGACATGTGAATGATAAACCACCCAGAGATACTAAACTGGCCTTTTTCTTAGTCTTTGAGAGGACATGTGAATGATAAACCACCCAGAGATACTAAACTGGCCTTTTTCTTAGTCTTTGCCATTAAACATCCTGAATGAATTATCAGTAAATTGATTTCTGGGTCTTAAGAATCTTATGTTCCTGGGATATGCTGTATGTATTTACATTCATCGTTTCTTTTCTTTTAAATATAGCTCATATTAGAATTTGACTTGGAAGTCTATCTCACATTAGTATATACCACCTTTGATCATGAAGCAGATCCAGTCAGGTATGAAGAAATAAGCACCACATAGTTTCTCTTTATATATTTAAATACAGAAATTCTACGTTCTCAGCTCTGCTGGCATAGTCCATAGCTTATTTAGCTCTGTCTTTTGGTGGTTCGAATCCACCAATGATTCCACAGGAGAAAAATGAGCACCCTGTGCCTGTTACGATTTACACCATAGGAAGCTTGGTGGAGGAAGGAAGAATAGTGCTGAATAAAGCAGTGAATTTGAGTTTAAGGCAAATCTTGGCTTGGAACTCATTTGCTTAATATTAAAATATACTGGATAAATACAGAATTTAAAAAAATTAATCTTTTATTTGCCTTATTAGTTTATATGCTATTTTCTAATGCAGGTCATTACAGTATTAAAATCTTAATTAATCACATGCAAGGTGCTTTGAGAGCACAGATGCATAATGAAAAGGTTGCTTTCATGAAAGCTAATGGAATCTTTGCTTACAGTGAAACCTCCTCAGTGGAGTATGATTTTAAGTTTATGGATTCCTAGACCTAGCCTTTGGATCTTGAGTAAGCACAGTATTTAGTCCAATATTTGATGATGCACTTGTGAAACTGGAGAATTGAAGTTTATTTCATAATACAAGCTGGATTTTTATCAGAACAAGCAGCTTGGTAATGATTAGTTTAGATCCAGAGGAAATACTCAAAGTGTCCGACACGTGATTTCATCTAGCTTGGTGTTTTTTTCTAGCAATTTAGTTCAAAAACATGGAAATCATGGTTATCAGATTTGCAGATGATAACCTGAAGGGATAAATTTATTTGAAAGGAGGAATAAGTATTTTCAAAGTTCATAGTAGCCAAGGAAGATGGACTGAAATAAAATTAGTGAAATGTTGAGTAGTTGTTATAAGCTTTCCGAACTTGGATTTAAAATAAGATTATTACAGAATTCTAGACTAAAAATTCATTTTTTAAAAAAAAGGATAATTATGCTATTTAAATGTTACCATATCATCCATTTTGAGTTTATACTTGTAAACGTTTATGTTTTAAACTTCCATTCTAAGTACTAACAACATTTTACCCATTTTTTAAAATTTTTTTTCCTATTACTTATATTTATCCAGTATATTTTAATCTAGTTCTTTATTTTTCTAGGAAAATATTGAATGACTTATCTTCTGATGCACCAGGAGTGCCAAGAATTGAAGAAGAGAAGTCTGAAGAAGAAACTTCAGCACCCGCCATCACCACTGTAACGGTGCCAACTCCCATTTACCAAACTAGCAGTGGACAGTATAGTGAGTAACAGAGAAACTGACTGAATTATCTATATGGGAATCATACTTACCATGTCTTTTGTGAGTCTGTATTGTATTTTCTTTACTACAAAAACCTCACTGCTGTCAAGTTGAAACCAACTCATAGCTGACTCTCCAGTGAATTTTCAGGAGCTATAAATCTCACAGGTGAAGATTGCCTGTCTTTCTCCTGTGGGAGTTCTGGTGGATTCAGAGCAGTAGAAACACTCAGCCTTTGGGTTAGCAGTGCAGCTCCCTACTGACTAGGTCTCTAGAGCTCTCTATAGTATATATAATATACATAGTATGGTAGTGCAGAAGGAGCAGATGCAACATGACGGTGGCCAAGTCCCACTTCATAAAGGGGAACTGGCCCGATCAATAATGTCCATAGAACCATACAGATAGCTTCACAGTCACACCATATGGCACCCCATATGCTCCTTTACCTAATTTTACCAGTGTTGATTGCAAGACTCCCAGACTTTATTCACTTTGGGGCCTTTATTAGTTTAATAGGAGAGTTTGGGAGGCAAAGACTATCTCACAATGTAAGTCCACGTTTAGTCCAGCAATCCCAAACCAGTCTCACTGACTCCAAGACACCTATACTTATTACCCTAGTTACTGTCTGGATCCATCTCATCCAGAGTCTTCCTCTCCAATGCTATCCCTCCACCCTTCCAAGCATGATGACCTTCTCCAAGGACTGTGCCCTCCTGGCCACATGCCCAAAGCCTGTCCAATACAGACCTGTTTATTCTCTTGGTGGTACACAGTATGTTTAGTATTCTTCTCCAGCACCACAACTCAACTCAGACATCAGTTCTTTTTCTGTTACTCTTAGTCATTATCTAGCTCTCTGATGCATAGCAAGTAATTGCAAAGACCATGGCCTGGATTAGGTGTACCTTATTCTCTAGACTGACATGATTACTCATTAGCACTTTGGAGACGTTCATAACAGCAGGCTTCTCCAGTGCAGTTTTTCTTTTGATTTCCTGACCGCTGGTGCCAAGAGCATTGATTGTGAAGCCAAGCAAGTTGAAATTGTGAACCTCGGTCTCTTCTTCATCTGTGATGGTGTTCTGTGCTCAGTAGTGAGAATTGAGAATCTTTGTCTTCTTGATGTTAAACTTCAATCCATTTGGAAGACTACAGTCCTTCACCTTTTGTAGCAAACACTTAAGGTTCTCCTTAGTTTCAGCAAGCAAAGTTGTATATGTATCATAGGTTATTAATGAGTCTTCCTCCAATCTTGATGCCACACTCCTCCTAATAAAGCTCAGACTCCCAAATTATCTGTTCCGCATACAAATTGAAAGAGTATGGATTTTTAAGGGTGCTCTGGTGGCCTAGTGGCAAGGAGCTGTACTACAATCCCAGAGGTACGCGGTTCAAATCCACCAGATGCTTTGCTGGAGGAGGAGGGGCAATCTCCTGTACTAGTCAGACCCGATTTGATGGTACATGCACACAAAAATAATAAAATAAAATTTTTAAAAAAGTATGGATTTTTTATTTTTAATAATGCCCTTTCCTTGCTTTATTTTGAGGACTGCTTCCTGGTCAAAGTATAAGTTTTTCATGAGCACAGTCAGATGTTCTCGGATTCCCATTCTTCTCAAGATTAGACAGTTTGTTGTATTCTACACAGGCAAATGCCTTTGCATAGTCAATGAAACATAGATAGACATTCCTCTGGTACTCTTTGCTTTCAACCAAGATCCATCTGACATTGGTGATAATATTTCTAGTGACATAGCCTCTTCTAAACTCAGCTTACATTTCTGGTATTTCTCTGTTGATGTGCATGTTCCAGTCATTTTTGGATAATCTTCAGTAAGATTTTGCTTGTGTGTGATATTGTTCAATAATTTCCACACTCTGTCAGGGCACCTTTTTTTTGGAATGAGAATAAATATGTGTTTCTTCTACAATATATATGATGTTGTTGTTAGTATCACTGAGTCAGACCCACCCCATAACTGACCCTCGAGGGGCCTTTCAGAGGCAGTAAATATCATGGAAGGAGATCGCTGAACTTTTTCTCTCGAGGCAGCTTGTAGATGTGAACTGTGTCCAGCTCCTTACCATTAGGCACCAGCGGTCCCTGTAGTATATATACTATATATAGTATACTATCTTCCAAATACAGATTTCTTCAAGTCATTTCTTATATAGGTCAATCAAACTTTAAACTCTCTCTCTCTCTCAGGTGCATATAGGTCTTTAAAGGCTTCTTTGAACTACTACTTCAAATTACAGATTTCAGTCCTTATTTAAGATAAAATGTAAGGCTTAGGATTCTAGTTATTTGTTCAGATAAAGAGTATATCCTTTTTTTTTTTAATATGCTTAGGACCAAAAATTTTCTCAGTGTTCGTCTTTCAGTTATTATCTTCTGTTCTAAAGTTGTTGTTGTTGTTGTTGTTATGTGCCGTCGAGTCGTTTCCGACTCATAGCGACCCTATGCACAACAGCCCTAAACCCTGCTCTATCCTGC